ACGAGCCAAATTAGAAAACTGATAACCACAAAATTACAAACGATATTTCGTTAACTACCAAGTCGTATTGTAAAATTCTTGGTAAAAGAAACAGCCAAAGTAGTAGCCTTATCTCCAATAATTTGCAGAAAGATACGGCAACTTCAACTGCAGCCATGTTTTTCAAAATTTTAATAACTGGTAAACGTAACCAAATTCCTGGTTTATCTCCCTATTCCTTCCAAAGGGATATTTTTTCTATCCTCATATTTCATTCCTCTACAGAGATAGCATTGCAGAAAGGCTAGAGCATGGAAGAAGAAAAAACGCCAAAGTCAAAAAAATATGGGGAAGGAAGCAAAATACACCTATTTCTCTTAAGGGGCCAAACCTGACGGTTAATCTGTCACACCGCTGCCAAAGTTTGAGAAATAACATCGCAAAATTAGGTATTCGTCTTTGTTGCCTAATATATTGTGTTATCAAAGAAACTTTTCCTTAGACATCTTATCATAGGTCGGCTTTTGATTGACTGAAACTCCAAGCGTAGTTAGGGCTATAAACCTATTTGACGAATGAAGTAACTAAGCAAAAAAAAATATCCGTGTTTACCACAGAAAGCTTCTTATTTCATTCAGGCTTTATCTACACCATGTCGGCAGTTAATAAAGTATTGTAAAAGATTGTAAAACTTAGTTTATTTGACGAATAAGAGGTCTCAGAGTCTTTTCGTGTCTTTTTGAGTTTTTGTTTTGAATTAAATATCAAATTCTAGCATAATTTTTTTTTCTGCTAGAAAAATGTTGCTGTAAATTTTATGTAAAATTCTTATTTAATTTTATCAATTCTAAAAAAATGTTTTAGTCTTTAAATTTTGCCACGTACTAGGCATTTTTGTAATACAGTAGCACAGTTAATTGGATAAAATGACTTTTTTACTTTTAGTAGTAAAACTTTTCGAGGATGAACCTTTCTAGAGTGATTTATAAGTCGTCAAACAAAAAGCTTTGCTCAAAAACTGTAGAGAGCCGACAAAATGTTGCCTGATTTTACAAAAGTTATTCACTACACATATTTTAGATACTAGTAATAAATAAAGGTTGCTTTAAGTCAGTTTTTAGATGTAGTGTCAAAGAATTAGTTCTCTGTTTTATCAGTTACAGCAAGTACTTCTTTTTTTAGTTAATCATATATAAATATGCAAATGAGTATATGTATATATATATTTACATTTTCATCAACACTATGAATCATTTGATAAATAATAGTCCTTCCTGCGCGGGTTTGTCAAAGAGAAAATAGAACTTGGTGCATTGTCTACTTTGAACTTGCAGTCTACATCAGTGTCACAGGTAGTCAAGGAATGAAAATTTTTTGGTATTTTTGGTTCAATAAATAAGGGATTTAACAAACTGTAAAATTTTGTCTTCCTCGTTTTGCATTCAGAATTTTTTTGTGATCCTGGTCAACAAAGCATTCTTATAAAAAAAAAATCTACAGATGCCAAACAGTTTTCAGTAACACCTTAACAGTATTGTTAATTTGAAATTAGCATCTTTTTCAGCAACAGAGTCATTTAAACACTAATACGATGACAGAGGTTTGTCTGTGACAGTAAATTCTAATAATGTGTATTTTGTCTACTGCTTTTATAATACTATGCACAAAATTTTGTGAATGAAAGTGGAAAGAAAAAATTGCAAAAACAATAAATTTGGCTTGAAAGCCTTGTTTATATGCAAATAGTAACGTGTTTACCGTTTACTAAGAAATGTGAATAAATTAGATGCTGAAATACCTTTGCTTGCGAGTACAAGTTTACAAAAATAGAGATAACTTGAAAAAATAACTAGAAACGCAACGGTTAAACAAGTCAAACGAGCATACTTCTAGCATACTTGCTAAGTGTCAATCTTATAGAACGCAGTTTCGCTTATCATAAATTAGCTTGGTACTCTGAGAAAGCGATTTGAGGCTGTTAGAACACATAAATTTTAGGGTTTTTCTCAACCTTTGTTTCCTTTCTGACAATTAGAGACCCGATTTGTCATTTCGTTTGGCATTCTAATGAGATACCTGCGAGCGGTAGTGGTTTTTTCTACCAGGTGAAAGTGCATTTCAATAGTTGATAAAACCATGCGTTAAGAAAAAGTATTAGGTATTAGAAGTTTTGGTAAAAAAAATAGCCTTTTGTGAATCAGCTATAAACAAAACGAATACTTATTTTGACACGTTTGGAAAGCGTTTGATGTGTTTCTTCCAGTTTTTAGGATCTAAAAGACTAATGAAATACGTGGCTATTAAAAAAGTAAATGTTTTTGGCAATTATCTTGTCAGGCAAAGATTTGAAAAGTTTTTCTTTAAAGTATTTGTTTTGGCATACAGTAGACTACCAGAATAAAGGGAATTGATATTAAAGCAAAATAAACAAATTTTTGATGTTTGCAAGCCTCATTTGGTTTATCCAAAACAGTGAAATTCGCTACTTTTGAAGGAGAAACCTGACAGTTTAAACCGTTAAAAATTAAAAAGAAAATACCCACATTTTGGTAAATGTAAGCTGATAAATTTAAGTAAATGTTACAAAAATAGTCTTTTAACCAATAAGCAAAGAAAATAATTAAAAGGTTCTTTATTCGCACAGATTCTCAATGTCAGTTGTACAGTTAGGCAATAATGCAAACAATACTCAAATACTATTTGAAGTGCCTAATTGACTTTGATAACTTTGCACTGTTTTTGTGGCAGTTATATTTGCTAAGTTTCGTTGCAATACGTAGCGAAGTGCACTGTTATAAACTTTTTTTTTCATCTTGCAAAAAGTTTTATCTATTGTTTTCGATCATTTCCTGTCGTAATATTTCGATTGCTCAGGCCAACTTTTTCCCAGCCTTTTGCAAAGCGAAAGCTTCTAACCGCGACCTTACTGCGCTTGAGTGATTAAAAACTTATTTTTTTTTTCTATGAAAAGTTTCTCAAAGTCATGTTTCAAACGTCATGCTTTCTATTTTGCATGTTTTATTTCAATTTGAAATCTTACTGTTTGCTTCTAAAATTTCTTACAGTTATTTGTTTTAACGGTCGGGTATTTCACATGAATTATAAGAAAAAATTTCTCAAATTAGACTGTAATTTTTAGAAAAGCGTTTGAGACATATTAGCAACTAAAACAGTAGTTATTGACATTTTTTTCAAATAGCAAAAAGTAGCTATAACGGTGCTTCAGTTTCTGAACGTTCTGAACAGAATACTCAATTATTTGCACAAACCTGACAGTTAATAAAACTTGAGTATGCTTTAGAAGCGCCGTATTTATTAAATATTCAATCAAAATATTGTATCCAGCATTAGAATGATTTTTGCACTAACTTTTCTTCTAGAAGATTATTGTGGGCGAGGCACTTTTTGGCAATTTTTTTCAGACTTTTGGTTAGTATCGGTTGTGTACCCTAAACCAAGTTCTTCCGCTTAATCATTTTAGTATTGGACTCTAATTTTTTCAACCTGGTCTGAATTGTGATAGTTAGCAGAAAGCTGCAATACCAGAAGTCTTGTACAATTTTATTTTATAAAAGCATAGATATTAAAAAATGTCTTTAATTTTTAACGCTTAATAAATTATGCTACAGAGACTTGAATTCTATAATTTAAAAGTGTTAAATATGTGATGCTTTATACCATTTCAACTTCAGTTGCTGACAAATCGTTTCATGCTACTTAAAGTAAATTTTGACAAAGCTACTAAATCTTATTTTATGCAGTAAAAACTTTATATTCTTTATTGACAGTTAACTTCTTTATAGTTACCTAATGAAGTAGATAGGAGTAGCAGGAAATAATTTTGAAGGAATAAAGATTAATTGTGAAATTTTTTTGTTGTTTTCTGTGCGAGAAGAATTGGAGTGATCACAAAGCACGAACATAATCCGTTTGTTGCATCTCTGCATTTATGCGTAAAAGTATTTGAAGTATTTGGTGACAACTGAAGCTGGCAAAAGTTTTATCTATCAACCAAGTTGAATAACTGGAATTCTGTACAGCAAGTTTTAGCATAAAGTCAGAAAAGTGCGTTAATTTAAATGATAATCTAAACACACTACTTTTGTCACTTTTTGTTAAAATTTGTTGTCGTTGGTCAAAATATTTCAGTTTGAAGGACCCAACAGCACATTGTTCAGCTGTTGTTAGTGGGTGCAGATAAACACTAAGTTACTACGTTATAATTACCCTTTCAAAACACAAAACCGATAGAAAAACTGTTTTTGTCGTTTTAAAAAAAAAATCTACATAAAATTATATGATCACTACCAAGACAACTGCACTTCTGCCTAAAGTTTTGATCGAAGAAAATTGTTTGATAGCTTTTTTTTTTTTTATGCGTCAATCGTTTTTGTCGTTTTAAAAAAATCTACATAAAATTGTATATTCACCACCAAGACAATCTGCACTTTTGCCTAAAATTTTTATTGATGAAAATTGTTTATTAGCTTTTTTTTCATGCGTCAATCGTTTTTATATTTTTAAATAAACCTACATAAAATTATATAATCATCACCAAGACAAGTGCACTTTTGCCTAAAGTTTTGATCAAAGAAAATTGTTTATTAGCTTTTTTCTGTATACGTCAAACTGTT